GTGTGTCCCCTAGTCAGGAAGGTCCAGGCCATTCAAGAATACCCCGCCCTGACCACAAAGAAACAAGTGAGACAGTTCTTGGGGCTTGTGGGCTATTACCGCCACTTCATCCCCAACTTTGCCTCAATTGCTGTCCCCCTGGCAGAACTCCTAACAAAGAACCAGCCACAGTGCATCCACTGGTCCCCCAAATGTGCCAAAGCATTCCAGATGCTAAAGGACCATCTCTGCCATGAACCAGTGCTTTGTAGCCCTGATTTCCCTCATAGGTTCATAGTCCAGACAGATGCCGTGGCAGTGGGACTTGGGGCCATCCTCTCTCAGACCCTCGACGGAGAAGAACATCTCGTCCTTTACATTAGTTGAAAGCTCTTCCCCTGGGAATGCAACTATTCAACCATCTAGAAGGAGGCCCTGGCAGTTAAATGGGCTGTGGAGGCCCTTTGATATTACCTCCTGGGGGACTCCTTCATTGTGGTCATGGATCATACCCTCCTCAAGTGGCTCCAGACCATGAAAGGCACTAACGTGAGGCTAATAAGGTGGTAACTCACCCTTCAACCGTTGGCATTTACCTTGCAACATAGGGCAGGTAAGGAGAATGCAAATGCTGATGGTCTCTCCCGGTCGGGGAAGGGGGACCATACCAATCCTGGAGAGTGGGGGCTGGACTTGAGGGAGGGTTGTAGTGAGAGGGTGTGGTCTCCAACCCTGACGGACAGGGAGAGACCACGACCACCCCCTGATGGGCAGAGCTGGGACATGCGCGGGTGCCCCGTTGGAAGCAGAGGAATGGGACAGTGACCGGAAATGGCAGGCCCTCCAGCTCAGTTGGAGGAGAGCTGCCAGAGGACCAGGACATCTCCCTCCACTGCTGGAGCCTGGACTCCATGGAGGCCGCTACAATGCCAGAGACGGAGCTGCCAGACGCTGGGGACACCAAGGAGCTGTTGGGGCTGCCACTTGCCACTTGTTTACCCCAGTGAGATGAATGACAACCCCAGAACCCAGGTGCCCCCTGACTGGGAGTGTAGGAAGGAGCCCAGGGACGCCGAATAGGACCACTCCGCCACTGTTAGGGCCCTGGGCTGGGACGCAGTGGAGTGGGTGGGCCTGCATCCCCCTACCCCCTGCCACTCCACCCCTGGGGCTGACAGCCTCCCCACCTTCAGGCCAAGAAGCCTGCATTGGTCTATCGCCTGCTCGAACTAGGACACCAGATGGTTTTGCTGATTGTTCTGCCAGGGAGCGGATCCCCCTAGACTGCTGTGTTGCTCTGCCTGACTGCAGACCAGGGCCATGAACTATTTGCTGTCCCGCCCTGATTGAGGGCTCTGGGCCTATAGACCCTCTGCTGCTAGGTCTGACAGCCAGCCACAGTCATTAAGGCCATGTCCACACTACCAATTTGTGTTGACGAAAGTGATGTCAACACCCAAAAGTTGACATAATAAAAATCGCAACTGCATGTTCCCACTTGCTCCCTCTGTTGGCAGATCACATCCACAGTACGGGCACCATCCTCGACAGTGTGAGCAAAGCACTGTCAGTACCTATCCTACAGTTCAGCTCAACACCTTTTGTCACTGTGTTGTGGGACGACGGAGCGGATCGCGGCGCATCTTGGGAGAGGGCTAAATGTCCCATGATGCATTGCTTTCTGTCCCAGCACTCCATGGGCTTCCGGCTTTCTTTTGTGGCATTTTTGCAATGACCCTTCTTTGCTGTGCACCCTGGCATCTTTGTGAGAAAGAATGGATCCTGCACTGCTCTCCTATGCTGTTAACTGTCATGAAGACATCGCGGAAGCCAGTGCAGTTAATTGTGAAGTTCCTAAATGAGGAAGACTTGCAGGCACCCGACATTCTGTGTGATCTGGATAGGAGCAACTTTAGATTGCTTTTGGCATTCACAGAGCAGGTACATAGGGTAGACCGTCGCTTTTTGGCTCAGGAAACAAGCACTGAATGGTGGGATCTTATCGTCATGCAGGTGTGGGATGACAACCAGTGGGTACAGAACTTTTGGATGAGGAAAGCCACCTTCCTGGAACTGTGTGTGGAGCTCGCCCCAGCTCTGCAGCACAAGGACACCAGAATGAGAACTGACTTCTCAGTAGAGAAGCATGTAACAATCAGTGTGTGGAAGCTGACGACTCCAGACTGCTACCGGTCAGTCGCGAATCAATTTGGAGTGGGGAAGTCAACTGTTGGGGCGGCATTAATGCAAGTGTGCGGGGCAATAAATCGTATTCTGCTACGAAATAGTGGACAGCTTTGCAAAAATGGGTTTCACAAACTGTGGAGGGGCAATAGCACACACATTCCAATTTTGGCACCAGACTACCTTGCAATGGAGTACATCAATAGGAAGGGGTACTTCCCCACGGTGTTGCAGGTGCTTGTGGATCACCAGGGGCGTTTCACTGACATCAACGTGGGGTGGTCTGGGAAGGTGCATGTCACACGCATCTTCAGGAACACCAGCCTATACAGAAAGCTGCAAGCAGGGACTTTCTTTCCTAACCAGATCACATTGCGGGATGTTGAAATGCCCATAGTGATCCTGGGGGACCCCGTGTACCCCTTACAGCCGTGGTTCATGAAACCTTACACGGGACACCTGGAGAGCAGTAAGGAGCGGTTCAACAACAGGCTAAGTAGATGCTGGATGACAGTTGAATGTGCCTTTGGCAGATGAAAGGAGCACTGGCGATGCCTTTATAGCAGGTTAGACCTCACTGAGGATAATATTCCCATGGTCATAGCCACTTGCTGTACATTGCATAATCTCTGTGAAAATAAGGGTGAAGGGTTTGCTCAGGGGTGGAGTGCTGAGGCAGACCATTTGGCCGCTGATTTTGAGCAGCCAGATACCAAGGCTGTCAGAGGAGCCCAGAGGGGGGCTATTTGAATCAGGGAGGCTTTGAGACAGCATTTGGACAATGAGCACCAGTAACAGATCTCTGTCAGAGGTGCTTCAATGTTACATTACATGTAGTTTTCCTAGAGGGCAATTGTGATACTTGGGGGTCTTATATTCCAGTATGCAAGTGATTAAAATGCCTGTGCATGTATTGGTGGTGCCTGCAATCTCACCATGTAGAAAAAAATAAACATGATTTACCATTATAAAACTTTGCTTTTATTGCACAAGAAACAGCACACACAAACACACAGATGCTTGGCGAGAAAGTAGGAACCAGGGAAGGGAAGACTTTCACAGCTATGTGTAGGTCCAGCTATCATTGGGAAAGTTGTCCGAGTGGGTGGAGTGAATGGGAAAGTGGAAAGGAATTGTGGGCGGAGTTTGGGGGGGTGGCGCATGGGAAAGAGTTCTGAATGTGCTGCAGTGGAGGTCGAGCACTGATCTGCTCAGGGCTTGTCTACACATACCGGGGATCTATGAGTGGTGATCAATGCATTGTCGGTCGATTTAGTGGCTCTAGTAAAGACCCGCTAAATCGACCGCAGATCGCTCTCCCGTCGACTCCTGTCCACCAGGTCGAGAAGAATGGGGGAGTCGACAGGAGAATGTCTCCCGTCGACATCACGTAGTGTGGACCCCTGAGTAAATAGATCTAAGCGATGTCGATTTGAGTTATGCTATTCACGTAACTCAAATTGCGTTGCTTAGAGCGAATTTCCCCTGTAGTGTAGGCAAGGCCTCAGTCTGCAGCATTATTAAGGACGTCAGCATCTGTGTTTGCTCCTCCGTTACTTTAATCAGCTGCTCAATTGCGTCTTTAACAAAGGTGTGATACTCTTTTCTGTCCTGCTGTTCGGCTTTCCAACACTCCTTGTGTTCCTTTTTTTCTGCATTGGAGCACTGCCGGACCTCCCGGAACATGTCTTCTTTGCTGTGTCTTGGGCACTTTCTTATCTGGTGGAGACGCTTGGCCAGCATGCGTGGGGTGTTCCTGAAGGCCACATCTGGTGAAGCACAGGGGACAATGCACAGAAGCGGGATTGTTAAATTCACACACAGCATTGAAACATTTCAGTTAAATACACCTTTTGCAACATTGCCGTCACTTTCTCACTGACCCTAGCCAGGCACACATCTCTGCGAACACCCAAAGCATGGTAAGTGTTGGCGGAGGGGGAAAGGGAGGGAGACTCCATGCTGGGAAAAGAGCACACACTCTTTGCAAGGGCCGTGGTGCAGCATTCTAGGGGACAAATTCTAAAATTCTCCCACATTTTTCCACAGGTGGGGATCATTCTAGCAGACATCTCACTGCTAAGGGTAAGCAGGGAAACGAGGGTACATCTAGTCTATGCTCGTGGTTTCTGCCCTGCTCCCTATGCTGCTCGCCTGTGTGCCGGTTTGGTCCCTGCACAAGTGATTGCCGAATGAAGTGGGAAAGTTTCCTACAATGGGGGAAGGAACAAAGCTGCTCTACCACGGAACCTTCGGAAGAGAATTGGCAAGTACCTCCAGGAAACTTTCCTGGAGATCTCCCTGGAGGATTCCTGTGAGATCTCAACATGCATCAACACCCTGTTCCATTGTAGATTATCATAGAGTTCAGAGAATATCAGGGTTGGAAGGGACCTCAGGAGATCATCTAGTCCAACCCCCTGCTCAAAGCAGGACCAATCCCCAGACAGATTTTTGCCCCAGATCCCTAAATGACCCCCTCAAGGATTGAACTCACAACCCTGGGTTTAGCAGGCCAATGCTCAAACCACTGAGCTATTCCCCCCTTCCTCCTGGATTAGTTACACAGGGAATTGTCCAGCTCACAGAAACACAGCCAGGCTCCCACATTTCTGTACCCTGAACACCACCTCCACGCTACACAAGCCACAGCCACTTACCAGGCATCTCACCTCCTGCTTCTTGCTCCCTTGAGAGCAACTGCTGAGTCTGGCTAGACACCTCTGGAGTGGAGAAGAGTTCCTGGCTTCCTGCCCCACTGGGCGACCCCACCAGGAGCTGCGCATCCTCATCTAACTCCACCTCTTCATCAATAACTTCCGCCAACAATAGCTTAGGTCCTCTGTCCGCCGCCCCAGGCCCTCTGAAGTATCCACGGGGCTCTTGGCAATGGAGGTGGGGTTGCCACCGAGGATAGCGTCCAGCTCCTTATAGAACCAGCAGATCTTAGGTGAAGCACCTGAACGACAGTTCACCTCCCTCGCCTTATGGTACGCCTGCCTTATCTCCTTTATCTTCGCTCTGCACTGCAGCGTGTCCCGATCACAGCCCTGTTCACACAAGCCTCGAGAAATCTGCCTGTAGGTATCCCAATTCCTACGGCTCAAGCGCAGCTGGGACTGCACAGCCTCCTGATGGACGGGGAGAGAGCCGCGACCGCCTTACAGACAGTTAGGGCTTAGAACATTTTCACTGGTTCACCTTAAAGATTTACACGTCACACTGGCTTCTCCACATGCCGTCTGAACCCATCAGCTTCTTTAATAGCAAAGAAACACCTGACTAGACAGACCTTTGTTACATATTAGGTACATAGTTCTTCTTCATCATATTTCTATTTAAAATAGACGGCATGAGCAGTTCCTGAGTCTCCTTTCAATTACATGGACCAGGCAGTCCTGCCCTGCCCGGCCCCACAGGACTGCAAATCCCACCTCTAGATGCCACCCAAGAGTCACCTGCTGGCTGGAACGGAGGTAGGTGTGGGGAGAAGTTCCTGGCTGGGTCACATCTAGACGGGGGGGAGGGGGTTGTCCTGGCTGCATCCCAGCTAGATGCATGAGTGTGTGTGGGACAGAGACACATAGTTGGATCCCACCTACACGGGGGAAAGGGGGTAGCTCCCTAATGGAGTACACTGTGACAGTTCTCTAAATTTACTACCACCGGTCTGCTCTTCCCTACGCTGCTCAACCAAGTTCCCTTCCCCGCCCCACACAGTCTCTGCTGGTCATCAGGGGGACAGGACCACTCGCTGGTCTGCATCTGCTGGTGCTGTGTCAGGCCCACTGGCTCCAAGAAGCCCCTCAGGCCCTGGCAATGGCAGAGGGGTGTTGGTGTGAGTGACCTGGTGCCGGGTGAGGTTGGCCAACCTACCAAACCGCTTGCCACAGTCAGCACAGCTGTATGGCCGCTCCCCGGTGTGTGTGCGCTGGTGTCGTCTCAGGCTTGAGCTCTCTGCAAAGCTCTTGCCGCAGTCAGTGCATTGGAAAGGCCTCTCCCCGGTGTGTGTGCGCTGGTGCTTGGCCAGCGCATTGGTGTTGCTGAAGTTCTTGCTGCAAACATCACAGCGGTGCGGCGGCTCCCCGCTGTGTGTGTGTTGGTGTGTTCTCAAGTTTGAGCTCTCTGCAAAACTCTTGCCACAGTAAGCACAGCTGTACGGCCGCTCCCCGGTGTGTGTGCGCCGGTGTCTTCTCAGGCTTGAACTCTGTGCAAAGCCCTTACCACAGTCAGCACAGTGATACGGCCGCTCCCCCGTGTGTATGCGCCGGTGTCTTCTCAGGATTGAGCTCTGTGCAAAGCACTTGCTGCAGTCAGCACAGCGGTATGGCCGCTCTCCGGTGTGCGTGCGCCGGTGTCTTCTCAGGCTTGAGCTCTCTGCAAAGCCCTTTCCGCAGTCAGCGCAGTGGTACGGCCGCTCCCCCGTGTGTGTGCGCTGATGTATTCTCAGGTGTGACCTCTCTGCAAAGCCCTTGCTGCAGTCAGCACAGCGGTGCGGACGCTCCCCGGTGTGTATGTGCTGATGAGTTCTCAGGTGTGAGCTCTGTGCAAAGCCCTTCCCGCAGTCAGCACAGCAGGAAAGCCGCTCTCCGGTGTGCGTACGCGGGTGTATTTTCAGGACTGAGGACTGGCTGAAGCTCCTGCCACAGCCAGACCATGTCCTCGTTCCTCCCAGGATCTCGTGCCCTGCTGGAGAAAGCAGAGGCAATCCCGGTGTTAGCTCACGGTTAAGGATACAGGTTTGTCAAGGATGGGAAAATGTCACGGATGGAGCGATTTCCCCATTTCTCTGTGTCTGTTTTTTGGATGTGCGCCTCACGCTGCAATGGCAGCTCCTATCTGACAAGGCTGGACCGAACACCTCGCTCTGGGTACTGAGACCTGGCCTGCGGGGTTACAGCGCCGCTCAGGTTTGCCCCCACCCACAGTCATGATGTGGGGGAGGCGGGTCAAACTTCAGTGAATGGCCTTGGCCCCCAGATCTTGTCTAGCCCGCACCAACAACTCTGCATCAGGCTGGGGTTAGGGTTGCAGTGCTGGGGGGGTAAAGTGCTTCTTTGGGCAGTTGGTGCCCCCCCTTTGTTAAACATCATGGAGCCGTCACAGTAAGTTTAGTGACTTGTGACTTTTAGTAAATTTACTGTAACTGCGCCGTAATTTTTTATATGAAATGCCGTGAGAAATCTGCAGTCTGACTCAGGGTGGTTCTATCCTATGTTGCTTATGCAGCACTTAGCGCCTGCTCCCATGTGCGTCATGTGCCTCATGGGTCTTGTTTGATGCTTAAATTGTAGCTTGCCCAGGAAACAGGCAGCAGCTGGCACAGCGGGGCCCTGATCCAGAACTAGGGGCTCTAACTGCTAACAAACAGGGTCCGGGGTTTGTTTTCACACTGATTTTGGTTTTATTTCAATCAGAGGTTTTTATTTTCATGTTTCTGGTTCTGCACTGTCTCCTGTTTTATAGCACAAGGCCTGTGCCCCAGTGTTTGTGCTGTTTAAACGATATTGGTTTGAAACTAGTTGAGGGGCTACAATCCCCTCATGTGGACGCAGTGAGACCGGTATAAAGCTGTTTAGCACAACGTAGCTTATTCCTGCGGGGAAGTCAGTCCCTTTCAATAAATTCCTTCTAAAGAAGTCATTCACCCTCGGCCTCACGTTTCATTCTTTGTGCAAAACTAAAACTAAACTAAAATTCTCAAGGAGGGGAAGGGAAAGGCTGGGGAGATAAATCACTCAGGGTTTGTGTGATGTAACCTGAAAAACATGTCGGTATTGTTTCAAAACCCAATCAGTGACACTGCTGACCTGGAAGGAGTTAATGGTTGCCACACAGCAGGCCTTTGATCTACAGACTGCATTAAGGCTGAGGGCTGTGCTAAGCATTGACACTGAAGCAATGTAAGTGACAACGGTTTCGTGCCACTGAGAGAGCAGGAGGAGAGGGGGATGTGACAAAGGCCATTCCACCACCCTCTCCCTCACACCCAGCCCATCCACCAGGGTATTCCAAGTCGTGCCCCACAGGATGATTTCGTCTGGCCCCCAAACACATCCGTTCCCCCAGCAGCAGCTGCCTGGAACGTGGGGAAGTTTTAGAGCATTACAATGAAACACTGCAAGTGCGAGAGACCTTCTCTACAAAACGGTGTCCTCCGCGTGGCGTAACCTCGCACTCATCGTATATGACTTACTCCTGGGGAGAATTCTGTGCTACTCCGTGCACGCATATTTAAGGAGCCCTGCAGATTTCTAATTTTTCATGCAGAAAAAAGCTTCTGCCAAAACGTTGCTGCAGTTCCGCCTTTTGCCCACCAAAGGGTGCTGTGGTGATAGAACAAAGTTGCAGCTCCCTGCAGCGAGGGAGTCAGGGGCTGTGGGGGAGAACAGACTGGGGCAGGGGCTGAATGGGAATGGAGGCACAGGGCCACAGGGGAAGGGAGGTGCAGAGACACATGGTGATGGGGGAGGTTTGCAGAGCTACATAGGGACAGGGGAGTGGCTGGGTGGGGGCACAGAGACACATGGCGATAGGGGCAGATGTGCCTAACTGAATGGGAGAGGCTAGGGGTCGGCCAGGGTTTGCATGGGGGAAGCTCCCTAACAAATCCCTCTCCTGCCCCCCCCAAAAAAGCCTGTTCCATACTTTTCCCACCCGTACACAACAACCCTCCAAGTTCACACCCAGGCTCCCTTCTCAGCAATTTACTTCCCTCTCCCTCAGCTCCTCCATTACCCCTGACTCCCCCAAGCTTTTGCACTGCTTCTGAGTGGTGTGGGAAATACGGTTCTGTAGTGTAGTTTAAATGAATTATTACTCAGAGTTCTGTATTAATACGCCTAGTAAGAAATCTATTTGTCAAAAAACGTTTCCTGAATCTTTTTTGTTGTTACAGACATACTTGCTTTGAGGTATTTTGAAATAAATAACTAAAAATAATTGAAACTGGTGTGATTATAGTGTGTTATTTTGACAAATAAAATATGCAGGATTTTAAAATATTGTGCGCAGAACTTTAAATTTTTTGGCGCAGAATTCCACCAGGAGTAATGACTGATCCTGCTCTGCCCTGAGTCATTCCCAGCTTTCTCCTTGCTTGCTGGGGTCAGGTTTCTCCAGTCTGAGAGGTCACGTGCGAAATGAAGTGGCAATGAGGGAGTGGGGTGGAGCCAGTGACTCGGGGATGCTCTCCCAGGCTACGAGCAGGTTTTTGCCCCTGTCTGAGCTATGTCCGGATCCAGGTGCCCAAGGCCATAGGACACCAGCACACACAGCTTGAGTCAGGGGGGGCAGCAGCATGAAGCCCATTTGAAAAATCTCGAGGGAACCCCTGCCTTGGTATGATTTTCTGAGGTGTGTGAAGCCTAGAAGAAAGTGTTGTGGTCTATGGACCAACAGGCATCTCTTTCTACCCAGGTGCTTGTCTGACCCCCAAGTGCCAGTGATCCACTGACACACACAGATGAAGTTTATCCTCAGAGCTGCAATGCCCTTCCCATTACACACTTGAGGAACCTGAGGCATGGTGGAGCTGTAGTGACTCACTTCTAGAAATGAGCCAAGATGTTTTCAATCCTACTACAATGTCCTACCCACTTGGTAATTGCAGCTTCCATATTCTCCCCTCACCACGGAGACCTCTCTCTTTCCCACAGCATCCTCTGAAATCTCCCACCCCACATTGTCCCATATCACTATCCCACCCCTCTTCCAAGTTCATCACCTCCCCATCTCCAATCCATTTCTCTTTCGCAGCTTTAGGGTCCCATCATTTTTAGGTCCCATTGTAGGTCACAGATAGCCAATGAGTAGGAAAGACAGGAAGTATGATAGTAAGACCCCCTGGCTTAACTAGATCTTCAATGACCTGAAACTCAAAAAACAGTCAGACAAGAAGTGGAAACTAGGTCAAATTACAAAGGATGAATATTAAAAAAACAAAACCCAACAAGCATGTAGGGACAAAACTAGAAAGGCCAAGGCAAAAAACTATATTAAAATAACTAGGGCTATAAAGGGGAACAAGAAAGCTTTTACAAATATATGGGAAGCAAGAGGAAGACCATGGACAGGCTAGGCCCATTACTAAATGAGGAGGGAAAGACAATAAGAGAAAATGCAGCAATGGCCAAACAGTTAAATGCCTCTTTTGTTTCAGTTTTCACCAAAAAAGTTAGCATTGATCAGTCGACTAACATAGTGAACATCAGTGTCAAAGGGGTAGGATCTGAGCCTAAAATAGGAAAAGAAATAGTTATGAATTACTTAGACAAGTTAGATGCCTTCAATAAGGCAGGGCCTGATGAAATACATCCTAGAATACATAAGGATCTGGCTGAAGAGATCTCTGAGCCATTAGTGATTATCTCTGAGAACTTGTGGAGGATGGTAGAGACCCCCAAGGACTGGAAAAGGGCAAATATAGTAATCAGTTATAGAAAGGGGAATAAGGACAATTCGGGGAATTATAGACCAGTCATCGTAACTTCAAAACCTGGAAAAATAATGGAGCAAGTAATCAAACATTCTATTTGTGAGCACTTAGAAGGAAATAAAGTAATAAGTAAGAGACAATATGGATTTGTCGAGAACAAATTATGTGAAACCAACCTAATATCCTTCTTTGACAGGTAACAAGCCCTGTGGATAGGGAAGAAGCAGTAGATGTCACATCTCGACTTTAGATCCTGTCTTACCTGACCTTCTCATAAACAAACTAGAGAAATATAGTCTAGGCAAACCTACTATAAGGTGGGTGCACAACTGGTTGGAAAACCGCATTCAGAGAGTAGTTATTATGGTTCACAAATGAACTGAAAGGACATCTTGAGTGGGATCCCGCAGGGATCTGTCCTGGGTCCAGTTCTATTCCATATCTTCATAAATGATTTGGACAGTGGCACAGAGAATACACTCAAAGTTTACAGATGATTCCAAGCTGGGAGGGGTTGCAAGTGCTTTAGAGGACAGGATTAGAATTCAAAAGGATGTTGACAAACTGGAGAAATGGTTGGCATTAAATAAGATGAAATTCAATAAGACCATATGCAAAGTACTACACTTAAATTAGAATAATCAGTTACACAAATACAGAATGGGAAATGACAGCCTAGGAAGGAGTACTGCAGAAAACCATATGGGGTTATAATGGATCACAAACTAAATATGAGTCAACAATGGAATACTGTTGGGAAAAAAAGCAAATATCATTCTGGGATGTATAAGCAGGAGTGTTGCAAGCAAGATGCGAGAAGTAATTCTTCCACTCTACTCAGCACTGGTAAGGCCTCAACTGGAGTAGTGTGTCCAGTTCTGGGCCCCGCACTTCAGAAAGGATGTGGACAAATTGGAGAATATCAGACGAGATCAACAAGAAGATCAGGAAAACATGACAACCAATGACAAAAGATTGAAAAAATGGGTTTGTTTAGTCTGGAGAAGAGAAGGGGGAGGAGGGGACGACGACTTGATAAAAGTCTTCAAGTACGTAAAAGGTTGTTACAAAGAAGTGGGTGATAAATTGTTCTCCTTATCCACTGAGGCCAGGACAAGATGTAAATGGGCTTAAATTGCAGCAAGGGAGATTTAGGTTAGATATTAGGAAAAACTTTGAAACTCTGAGGGTGGTTAAGCACTGGAACAAAATTATCTAGGGAGGTTGTGGAATCTCCATCATTGAAAGTTTTTAAGAAAAGGTTAGAAACACACTTGTCAGGGATGGTCTAGATAATACTTAGTCTTGTCTTAGTGCAGGAGACCGGACGAGATGACCTACGGAGGTCCCATCTACTCCCACATTTTTATGATTTCTATGATTCATAGATATCAAGGCCAGACAGGCTCATTGTGCCCATCCAGCCTGGCTTCCTGCCTTTCCCAGCCAGAGAAACTCCCCCGCGATTCCTGCCTCTGGCCCAGTAACTCCTCGCTGAGTTAGAGCGGGGCTTTGAGAGAGAGTCGCCCCATCTCCACCAACAGACTCCCAGTGAGGGAGAATCCATTGCATCCTGAGGGGAGCTCTCCCAGTGGTTCATTCCCCTCCCAGATAAACACTGGCCCCTAATTTGTCTCTCTTCAGCTCCCAGCCAATGGATCTCGCTCTGCCTTTGCCTTCTACATCAAGGAGCGCTCTGCTAGCAGGTGTGTAAATCAGAAGGGATCGGATTATTATGACTCACCTGAGGAGGGGCTGTCAGGTCCTGAGTTTTTCCTGGAGTCCTCGGCATCCCTGATCCAGAGCTCAGCCTCCCCTAACTCGATCCGTTGGATTAAGTCCGGTGTGGAACCTGAATAGCCTGTTTGGGGAGAAAGAATCAGTTCTGGGGGCAGGGACTCATTTATATGTTTGTGCAGCCCACCACAACAGGACCCTAATCTCTGTCAGCGTTTGTCTGCGCAGCAACTGGCACGACGAGGCCCCAGTCTCGGACGCTGCTTGAGAGGAAAGCGCAAGAGATCCCAAGCAGGAGAATAATGAAATAAAGCTTCCTTAGAGATTTCTTCCCATCTCCCACCAGGCAAGTTCAGTTCGTACTTTGAAGCAGCAACGTCTATGACCCTTCTCAATTTGCTTTGGGGGCTGAGTCATGGCAGGTGGCACCGTTACACACACCTACCAGTTCTTTTGCTTAGGATGCAGCATTGTTCAACTATGGTGTGGTTGTTAAATTTATGATGTTCATTCTTTTTGGCGAGGTGGGGAGCTAAGTTCCCACTAAGCTGCGCGGCTGTGCTGCAAACCATCAAGGGCTGCACAAGGGCACAACCATAGGGGTCTGGACTGGAGAGGCGCCGCTGCTGGGGAAAGACGCTTCTCCACCTGACCCAGCCCTGGAGCTGCTGCGGCCGGGGAGAGGCGCCTCTCCCCCGGCCCGCTGCAGCAAGAGAGGGCTGGGGGAGTCCTCTCTCTCCGTCGCAGCCCTGGGGCAGCCTGCACCCCAAACCCTCATCCCTGGTCCCACTCCAGAGCCCTCACCCCCACACTCCAACCCTCTGTGACAGCCTTGAAACCCCTCCCTCACCCTGAACCCCTCATCCCCAGCCCCACCCCAGAGCCCTCATCCCCAGCCAGAGCCCTAACTCCCCCCACCCCAACCCTTAGCCCCAGCCCTGAGCCACCTCCCACACTCCAAACCCCTCAGCCCCACCGCCGCCACACATCACCTCCATATTGGTGCACAGAACAAAATTTATTCTGTACATGGATGTAAAAACGTAGCAGGAACATTGTGGGGGAGCTGTTCCAAGCAGCAGGAGACTTTTCTCTCAGCCTTATTTGTCTAACTGGAGCCAGTTCTTGAGGTTGAGTTCCTGCCCTCAGTGTCTGGGCTGGGATACCTGGAAGAGGTGGTTACAACCACCTCTGTGCCAGGACTGGGGTATAATGCAAGTAAACCGGTTACATTAACATTACCCTAAGGCTCTATAGCCCTGATTTCTCCTTTAACAGGAAGCCGACCTGAGAGGGGCTGACATTTGCCACCACTTGGCCACTCGGTGGCACATGGCAGCTGAGGCATTCAGGGAGCCCACTGCAGTGAATAAACGAAGGGAACTCAGTCCTTACCCAGGGAAACGAGGGCCCAGTAATTCCTCAGCATCTGGTCCCGGTACAGCTGCTTCT